GGCCAAATTCTGACCAAATCAGGGATGGCATTCCTGACCCACATGTTTCTAACAGTGTTTACACATATATATCTATCCGAACACAATGACATATACAAATTCATTCTCCCTCTCCTTTTAAGCATGCATCAAGAAATACTAATTTCCTCACCAAGCCTTAGCTGGAGTGAAATCGAGCCTGAACTTGTATTTCATGGGAACTGTGAAATTTTTCATTTGTTATCATAGTAGTTACAGCATTTAAAATCAAATTTACTACATACACTAATAGCCACCCACATTCTCTTACTCTCTTAATTATATAGTCTTTATATTTTTGCTCTGAACAAGACTCTAAGTATTGTATTTTTAATTTAAATAGAGCGATCGCTGTGGTGTAATATCTCACATGTAAAGACTGTCTAAAATAAAATAATACTGCAGTATCTATTTATATGATGCTTTGGTCAGAGCCAAAATAGTAAAAGTTCCTGATAACTACATATGGTACTCCTGAAGTATGCGCACCAAGATGTCGCATAACCTGAACCCTAATCTGGTACACTACCTGGGTTCAGGTTGTGCGCCATCTTGGTGCGCATACTTTAGGAGGTCTCTAAATTAGGCTTGTACGTAATTTACGGATTCACGGAATTACGTAATTATTTTGAGTTACGGAAGGGAAGTTACGATTTACGTAAAGTCATAATTATTGGTCGAGCGCTTTCGTGATGAAACGAGCTGTTTTCAAAGCAGTCAATTCCATTGATTGTAAAAAATGAAAATGTTTTTCTCTCTCTTGCCAATACGACGCCGTGATAATTAATGTCGCGCTTATCAAACAGCAATATGACGAAGGAAAAGAAATTGCGTAATGAACCAATGCAACTTCGTCTTTTCGGCATCGGTAAAGCGATTGAGACGGCAGAGAAACAACAAAACGACGAGATTTCCCGCGGACCGGTAAAAATCCCGCGGACCGGCGGTTGGGAACCACCGTTCTAGAATACTTAATAAATCGAATCTAGAATCCTATTCTATTTTTATAGTTACACGTATTTCAATAGTGGAAATTCCCCCAATATTCTCAATTTAACTACTATCAATATAATCAAGTATGAGCCAGTGTGTTTATTCTGTGCGTGATCCATTTTCTATTACGAAATCTTACTTTTACACTGGTTATATCGTTATATGTCCGGACCTGGCCTTGCTCAATATGTTTTTCACAATGCCTCGCACAATTTTGGCCAAATATGATTTCGGCCAACTGTCTTTACCAAACGCGGCAACCATTTTTTGATTTTATCGTCGACTCGAATACCACAGGCACTCGACCAAACTTGTGTGAATCTTGGCCGATAGGATCGTCGAATTTAGTTAAAAAAATAGGTTTATTTTTTTGTGAGTGCAAACTAAATGTCACAAAATGCATTGTTTTGCGATATAACTTTGTATTTTCGGAGAAGGAATGTCATATAAGTACGGCATTTAAATTATGCGCAAATAATGGTATAACATTTAGGCCGCGAAATCATTTAATGTCAAATGAAGGATGGTGATCGGAATATCGTCAATAAGTCGACATCAATAATTATTATAAAATGCTAACTAGGTAGTAAAGTCGAATTATGTAAAAAACGGTGCAATAACAAGTCTTCGTCGCGAGGCAAGCGCAAGTATAATTAAAAGCGAGAATACGCTCGTCGTTGATTAATAAATTAGAATCCCGAAACTTTTATTTAATACAAAAGTCCATTTAAAAAAAGTCAACTATCGTTTCATAAAGATCCGTATACCAGTGTCGGTAATGATAAAATTGATCGCATAAAAATGGGACGGTTAATTTGCGAAGGTGACAAAGGAAAATCAAAGCTAACACTAAAGATAAAAATCAGAATGAAATTAATTTAATTCACTCCCTGATAGTTGTCTTTAACATCTGTCGCCGGCGTGTAATACTGCCAGGATTATGAAAACCAAACTTCGATGTCGCATTCAGAAAAGAAGTGGATTCAATAGGTTTTTATGATAGGTTCAAATGTGTGGAAAAATATCGCAATTACGGGGTCATTACGTAATCGATTTGGCCGTAATTACGGAATTGATTTTTGTCAATTACGTGCAAGCCTACTCTAAATATTGATGTAATGGCCGAACAATGTAATTCACGCCGGGTGTTTCTTTTTGCAACCAGCTTAAACAGTGTTACAAAAAAATGCTGCCATATGTTAGAAAATTAGGTAGTAATTATCCTTCTGTATCTCAAATTTGGTGAAATTTGTAATTAATTAATCTCAGTCATTTATAGGTTAATTTTTAAAACATGAGTATGAAAAGGAAGTTGAATAACAGATTTTTTAAACTGAATATGTGAGGGAAAAATATCACAATACATGCTTAATATGTCTGCAAGTTGTGTCGGTGACAATCTAAAACGGTATTTTTTCCCTATATAGTTTTCCGAGATGAGGAGTTTGAAATCTTACACTAAATGTATATACAGTAAGATTTTTGCACGTTATACTTTATTTGGTGGTTTGGCTTTATTTGGTGTTTGGACAATAAAGTGTTTGTTTTGTATTGCACTAATTACCTATTCTTGGCACTATTGTGGCCCGCGAACGATACGAAAATGATAATGTGGCCCGCGAGGTTGACAACCTTGGACCACCCTGTGGTAGGCCATTGAACCACCTAATCAAGGTTGCTGTAAAGCAAGGGTGTGCAACATTTTTTGTCGGTGGGCCATATAACAAACTTCAGACATCTAGCTGGGCCACCTTGAAGGATTATTACATCCCAATATGTTGTTAACAAGCCTGCAGCAACAAAATACATTAGTGACTACCAGAGGGCCATGCGGAGGGCAATAGAAGAGAATGAAGCTACCGCTTAGCCTTACAGTAATGAATGCACGGGGCAAAGGATTTACTAAAAAGAAAGAGCAAGATTTAATGCAGAGACAAGGCCAAAATGCATTACCTATGTATTTTTACTGATGTGAGAGCCCTTTTAAATATAAACTGTGGGATTAGAATTTTATGCTTGATGGGGAAAATCTGAGTGTTGACTAGGACCACACTAAATGTCTTGGAGGGTTGGATTGTTGCCCGTGGGTTGCCTGTTGCATATCCCTGCTGTAGAATGTATTTCTGCCGCTAGTGGGCGCCATTAGTAATCTATTGAAAGGGAATTAGATTATGTCATCTTTCAATATTAAGTTTTGCTTCAGATTATAAAAGACCTGTCATTAAAAGTAGCTAATTACTTATAGATAAAAAGTTAATATTCACTATACAATCAAAAGTTCTAAATCAAGGATGGCGAACCTTCATACCTATCGGAGAACATACATTTTTTGGCATTTGAATAATTTAATGGCATTGCAGCTAATGTTAGATGCTAAATTGACATATTACACATGAAACAGATATGACATAACAATATAGGAAGTCACTCTCTCTCACTGACTAGTATGGTAAGCCTACTCATAAAGCATAATATACACTTTGTGACCCACAAGTCAGTGGCGGGTCACCACCCTTGGTTTATATCAACATGTTGCAAGCACAATCAATTTTTAGTAAGGGCAATCAATAAACTTGTGACTGTGTGTTGCTAAAAGTATATGTCACTAAAAATTGAAGCAAATACGATGGATTTCAATTTCCAACTTCAAAGATAGTGGTATTCAAATATTTCCTATAGATTTAAAGATTTTTAATCTCAGGGGTTCCACAATAACAAAAAGGTTGAAGAGCACTGGTCTAGACTCTAGAGCAGGGGTGTGCAACAACCCGGCCCGCCAAGCAATTTTGTGTGGACCTAATCAACACTCAGATTTTTCCACATCAAGCCCAAAATCTTAATCCGACAGTTAATGTTTAGAAAGGCTATCATATGGATAAAAATACACAATGTTTTTTGCTGTTGTCACTGTGTTAAACCTTTTGTCGTTTTATCAAGTGCATTTATTTCTGTAAGGGTAAGCGATAGCCGCATTCTTTTCTGTTGGCTTTCCAGCTAAATTTTTTGTATGGCCTGGCTAGATGTCTGAAGTTGGTTGTATGGCCCGCTGATAAAAAATGTTGCAACCGTCTCGAAGTGAGTTTGTTGCTTAGTATGATAATTTGAATAATATCAATACAAACATTTCACTCCTACTTCAACTTTAAAATATTTATTCATGTGTATAACAACAAATATATTTTGTCAATTCCCAAAATTATTTTAAAGAATAGGTATAAGGGGCATCATTATCAGAAACTCACCCTGGGCAGCAGTTTGACACACCCTATTCTCGAGTTATTGATGCAACAAGCAAATAAATAAATTTACCATTTTCAATACAACGTCAATCAACAGGGATAATAACATTTGATCAATTCTTTTATATCTTAAAGACTAGCTCAAAAATCTCAAGTCAAATCTCTCTAGTGGTAACTTGAGTCAAGATATTTTGATTGTGCGAGTCGAGTTCCTTCGAGTCTTTTAAAGGGGATTTGAGTATATAAATGATTACCTAAATTCTCTCAAATGCTTACTTTGACTCCTACAATATACAGGATGTCCCAAAAGTAAGTACCGTTATACACTTTTAATTTTAATTTGCTTTTCGGGTAGTTATCATAGAGCGTTAATATCTTCAGAAAACAAAATATGGATAAGTAGTAAAATTTAGTTATTGTTTGCATTTTTCATCAACCCACAGAATGACAAGGTGATTAACCCAAGAAAAGAGGTGCAAATTGCTGTTGGGCAATAAGCATATATAATCAGTAAGACAAGCCAGTGAGACACTCTGTATATAGTCACCGACTGTGTAGAGCCTTGTTCTGAGCAAAAATTAGATGATTTTTTTTAATTATAAGTGGCATGCGTTAGAGATGGGGATTGATATTTTGTTGCATATTCCCTTTAATACATGCACCAACCACCAATCCTTCTAATAAACTAATTATCAGTTCAAATTCATGCTGTTTAGTCATTCATGCTCATCACATGAAGTCTCCTCTTACCTTTGCATTGCCAGTGTTTTCTTTAAAAGCTTTTATTTCTTCTGCTGTCAGATTGCAATTCCCAGCATCAAATGTCTTTACCTGGCATTGTGTAACAACTAATCCAAGTTCACCAAAACCATCCGTTCCAAGTTCTCGTTATAACTGACTTCTAGTTTATTCAGCTGAAATAAATAAGAACTGTGAAATTATTTAACATGATCAAAATACAAATGAAACTATAGAATCCACTACACTGAGGGTTCGCATTGCAACAACATGAAATAAATTAAAGTTGTGATATGGTAGGCCAGGGTGGTCCAAACCCTGGCCCACCGCTTCATTATCTGTGGCCCGCGTCGCATTTGCGCGAGAGTGAACAAAAATCCCATTTGGCGCTGTTTTTTCATAAGAATGACTAGAAAATTTTTTTTGACATATTGTTTCATCACTAATGTCAATGAATTGACTAGTGTCATGGTTAGCTGAGGCAACTAGCGAAAAAATAATGTGCTTTGCTAGTCTAAATTGTTAACTGGCTTTCTATCTTTCTGGTCGGGAATATATGCTAACAGAATATTCTTCATAGTAAACTAAAAATCTAATAGTAATCTGTTAGCCTATAGGATGGGTATGCCTGATAACTAAATATGGTACTCCTGAAGTATGCGCACTAAGATGTCGCATAACCTGAACCCTAACCTGGTACACTACCTGACTTCAGGTTGTGCGCCATCTTGCATACTTCAGGAGGTCCCTAAATATTAATATAATGGCCGAACAATGTAATTCACGTCGGGTGTTTCTTTTTGCAACCAGCTTAAACAGTGTTACAAAAAAATGCTGCCAATATGTCAGAAAATTTAGTAATTATCCTTCTGTATCTCAAATTTGGTGAAATTCGGTAATTAATTAATCTCAGTCATTTATAAGTTAATTTTTAAACATGAGTTTAGAAAGAAAGTTGAATAACAGATTTTTAACTGAATATGGGAGGGAAAAATATCACAATAATTGCTTAATATGTCTGCAAGTTGTGTCGGTGACAATCTAAAACGGTAGTTTTTCCCTATATCACTTTTTCCGAGATGAGGAGTTTGAAATCTTACACTAAATATATTTCCAGTAAGATTTTTGCACGTTATACTTTATTTGGTAGTTTGGCTTTATTTGGTGGTTTTAGCATATGTTAGCTTGATAAATGACAAATAATGATAAATGTGTTTGGACAATAAAGTGTTTGTTTTGTATTGCGCTAATTACCTATTCTTGGCACCTTTGTGGCCCGCAAACGATACAAAAATGATAATGTGGCCCGCGAGGCCGACAACCTTTGACCACCCTGTGGTAGGCCATTGAACCACCTAATCAAGGTTGCTGTAAAGCAAGGGTGTTCAACATTTTTTGTCGGTGGGCCATATAACAAACCTCAGACATCTAGCTGGGCCAACTTGGAGGATTATTACATCACAATATGTTGTTAACAAGCCTGCAGCAACAAAATACATTAGTGACTACCAGAGGGCCATGCGGAAGGCAATAGAAGAGAATGAAGCTATCGCTTAGCCTTACTCGTACAGTAATGAATGCACGGGGCAAAAGATTTACTAAAGAAAGAGCAAGATTTTAAGAAAGGTTTAATGCAGAGATAAGGCCAAAAAGCATTATGTATTTTTACTGATGTGAGAGCCTTTTTAAATATAAACTGTCGGATCGGAATTTTATGCTTGATGGGGAAAATCTGAGTGTTGACTAAGACCACACTAAATTTCTTGGAGGGTTGGATTGTTGCCCGCGGGTTGCCTGTTGCACATCCCTGCTGTAGAATGTATTTCTGCCGCTAGTGGGCGCAATTAGTAATCCATTAAAAGGGAAATAGATTATGTCAACTTTCAATATTAAGTTTTGCTTCAGATTATCAAAGACCTGTCATTAAAAGTAGCTAATTACTTATAGATAAAAAGTTAATATTCACTATACAATCGAAAGTTCTAAATCAAGGATGGCGAACCGTTATACCCATTGGAGAACATACATTTTTTTGGCATTTGAATAATTTAATGGCATTGCAGCTAATGTTAGATGCTAAATTGACATATTACACATGAAACAGATATGACATAACAATATAGGGAGTCACTCTCTCTCACTGAACTAGTATGGTAAGCCTAATCATAAAGCATAATATACACTTTGTGACCCACAAGTCAGTGGCGGTTCACCACCCTTGTTCTAAATCAACATGTTGCAAGCACAATCAATTTTTAGTAAGGGCAATCAATAAATTTGTGACTGTGTGTTGCTAGAGTATATGTCATTGAAATTGAAGCAAATACGATGGATTTCAGTTTCCAACTTCAAAGGTAGTGGTATCCAAATATTTCTTATAGATTTAAAACAAAAACGCACTTATTTGCCAACCTTTGAAAGTTATTTGGTCCATTGCACTGCCATATTACTACATTTGAGCTGATGGCCTTAGGGCCCTTTCCGCCATGCATTCTAATTTCTGTACAGATTCTGCTTTCTAAGCCTGTGCTCGGCAAACTGTGGGCCGCGCTCCAATCGTGGGCTGCTGGGCATTTTCTAGTGGATAGGATAGGTTTTACGTATTAATCCCGGGGGAGACGAAAGCTGATAAAATGGCCTAATCATATGGCGAACCAAGGCCCGCTCGCCCGATTAACAATTCCATGTCGGGTATGGGATTAACTAGTTAGCCAGTTATCAGATGCATAGACTTGGCGGTGTAGGAACCTGTAACTGACCAGTGGCAATCTTCTCGCATATAATCAACCTCGCATGGGATTCAAGCATGCGAACCCACACAGGATAATCCGAGATGCAGGCGTATTCCTAACAGTTATCAAGATGTGCCACACTGCCGAGCCAATAGTGGGCCTCCAATAAATCTCAATTATGACAGTGATACACAAAAAAGTCCTTTTAAACCGACATTACCTATAAATATTTTGCCAAATGATTTTTGTTCATATATCAAATGGTTATGAATACCGTATTTGCTTGTTTTGTAGCTCGGGCCCATATTTTTTTTAACCAAACTCACTAAAACCAGGCCCTGATTCAAACCGGCCCTTATTCAAGCACGGAGCTTGTTATTTTCAAAGTAAACTTATACAAAAAATATATAAAAAAAATATATATATATAGATAAGATCGATCGTTACAATAAATAATATATTGTCATTTCCAGTTCTCAAGTAGGATTTGAACGAGAATAACGAAAATTTTAACTTTTTCTACGCACCGCAGGTACAAATCTGCAAGAGATGAAAAGTTTTGGGACACCCTATCAATATTGAAACGTCGCACATGGGCGTCGCGACGCCCAGTTTGAAAACCACGGAGTTACGCAATCAATGCTATCTGTTATGTAATTGGATGCCTAAGGCGTGAGTGTTGTTATCTACCAGCGCTTAAAATTCAACAGCGTTGTGACAAACCGCTTCTTATTTCCTATTGTTCTCTACCACTGAAAAATCAGCTTTTACATTGGGCCGGTATATAAGCATCGGGCCTTATTTATTTTTATGTTCTGTTCACACGGGCGGCTATTCAAACGGGCCCTTAATCAAGATTGGGCGATAAAACGAGCATATATGGTACCTTACATATACGTTCATTTCAACAAAACAAATTGCTTTATTATGATAATATTATTGAAGCTTAACTAATTGCTATGTCCTTGAATTTTAAAGAAGTTAATAACTTTTATGCTTTGTGGGATTTTAGAATGTATTCGAAATTCCAGATTCGAAAATATTTTTTAGAATGTATTCAGAGTAGTCCAGTATTCAGTTATGGCCATCCCTACTAATAACTCAAATACAATCAATAATGAGTTGTATTTAAAAAAATTCAAAAATCTCATCGCTAGTGTTGTTTTTTAAGTTATTCTGTACTAAAGCCAAATATAGGTTTGCCTTATCTAATAATAAAATTATATAAAAAGAAAATTAAAACTAACACAAGAATTTTATTTTAACAAATATGGTTTGGGCATAAACTAAAGTGGAATCTAATATCACTTTACAAAAAAAAAAGGCTCATACACTATTTGACCAAATTCTGACAATTTTTGCATGTTTCTTCCCCGACCTCCATTTTCTACCAGAGTATACAGATATATATCTTTCTGAAGACAACAACATATACAAATTCATTCTCCTTCTGCTTTCAAGCATGAATCCAGAAATACTAATTTCCTCACCAGGGCTGGGCGTTTCGAAACAGTGTTTTTACTGCCGTCAGCATATTTTTCGCAGGCATCTTCTCAAACATGTCAACTTTATATTCGGGTTGAATTATATTATATAATGTAATGTCGATATTAGTATTAATTAATAATATTATTAATTGACTTTATACTGCCACCTATTATTTGTCCTAACCTTTTTAAAGACTACTTTGTAATAATAACGTGGCTCGTGGGATGAAGTACTCTCTATTTACACACGTTATTGGTACGTCAAAAAAAAAGAGAATGGCTATTTAGTTATTTATGACCCTTCGGTTTTGCCAATTCGGGAAACAAAAAAAAAACGACACCAGACTGGAAGCACACCTGTTAACCAACCCGTGGATGAGCATTGTAGTACTTATCACACTGTTCAAGCTTCATAACATTCAAATGTTATTTCATCGTTCCAGTTAATAGGTTGTTCAAAATGATTGGTACTATCTTTTTAACCAGATAATAACGTGATATTGTTTAGAATAGGTAATTCAGTGAATATGATTGTATCGAAAAAACATAACTGGTTCTAACCCTATAAAACTGACCAACAGAGAAAAATTTTTTTCCACCAACCCACTTTTTGAGTGCTAAGAATAGACATTGTCTTATTTGCTGTGTAGAATTTAAATACGGTATTTCTTATATAATGAATGTTTCCCCATTCATTGATTGACTTGCTCATCTCTGTAAAAATGACCAATTAGCAATAAATTGAAGGTAATGTAGCAATTGGAACCTCTATGTACAGCGGTTCCCAAACTATGGGTGCGACTATGGGTCGCAAAAGGAATCTTAGTGGGTCGTGAAAAGATGTAAGAAACTTTGATTAATTTAACTGGGTATTAGGATCGGTGGCGACCCGAATACGTAAATCTTCAAAAAAAAAAAAAATTTAAATTGAATCTGTGAAAATTTCCTTTTTACGATCTTCTGAAAGGAACAAAAAATTGCTACACAAAGAATGACTACGTGGCTTTTTACGCATAGCAGTTTTGTACACTGTACAGCACTTCTTACCGTGTTTACCCGAAATTTAGACAACTTTCAGACTTATTTTCTTTTGAAAAATAACACTATGGTTTTTTTTGGAAGAGGTCTTTTGTGTTCATTTATCAAAAATAAAATTACATTGTAGGAAATCACGAGATTTTTTAATAAACTTTATATAAAAACTGACATTCATTGTTTTTATTTGTATTTCCTATACAAAAATCAAGTGACAAATATCATAATTGTGATTGTGACATGCTGACATCACACAATCTTGAATAGTGGTGTAATCTTCACCTTACCATCACGTCATTGAACCTTTCCTCTCCCACACATTTTAAATTTATTTTACGGGTAGGGTTTAATTAAAATCATTTTCAAAATTCAAATTAGGTATTATTTTCAGGCCAGGTCTTATTTTGGAAAAAACACCACTATCATTTTCACAAAATTTCAAGAGAAATGTGATTTTTTTCAACGTAAATGTTAGAAGCTAATCCAGGTAAATCTAGCTGGCTAACGAAAATATTTTTTGCCAACCTGCATGGGGAAAATGTGTCTTGACTCTCTAAAATTTTAATTGTCACACATCCCTGTCCCTGAAAATTCAGTATCTCCACAATAAATTACAATTCGGTGTAGTCATTAGACCATTCTGTCCCTATTTTTAAAGCATTGGATTTATGATTTTTATTCAGATTCACTGATCAATACTCATTGAATATAATATTATCCAATAAATATTAGTAATAATTTTATATTATTTTTTTTTTTATGGTATGGCGGGTGGTGCATCGAGCTAAGCATCAGAAATACACTTGCACCGCACCTCTGATTACTCTGCATGTGTTCACAGGTTCAATTTCTGTGAAGATAATTTAGTGCTAAAGGATTGCTGGACTCCTCAACAATGTAGGGGTGGTTGAGGTAACCACCGGATGGTTACGGCTTCCTCCACCATTTCAGCGACAGCGACAAGACCAAAAGCATTTTGTATTTTATCCATGTGAGCGTCTTTTTCAATACAAACTGTCGAGTTAAAATTTTATGCTTGATGGGGGAAATCTGAGTGTTGACTAAATGGCTTGGTGGGTTGGATTGTGGCCTGGGGGTTGCCTGTTCCATCCCCCCGCTAAAGAATGTATTTTCTGCCACTAGTTGGCATCACTAGTAATTCATTGAAAAGGAAATACATTCTATAAATTTTAATACAAACTTTTTCCTCAGATTATCAAAGACCTGTCATTAGTGGTAGCTATTATTTATAGTAAAAAGTTAATTTTCACCATACAATAGAAGGTTCTAAATCAGGGATGGGGGAACCTTTTTACTTAACAGGTGTATAACAACATCTATCTTGTTAGATATCTTGTTTGTGCAAGTCGAATTCCTTTGAGTTTTTTAAAAGATGACTCGAGTAAATAAATGACTAAATTCTTTCGAATGATTTTCTTGACTCCTAAATAATACAGGGTGTTACAAAAGTAAGTATACACTTCTAAGTTTGATTTGCTTTTCAGGTACTCACCCATAGAGCGTTCATATCCTTAGCAAATATAGGATGGATAAGTAGTAAAATTTAGGTATTGTTCGCATTTTTAGACAACCCACAGAATGAAAAGGAGATTAACCTTAGAAATGAGGTGCAAAATTGCGGTTTGGCAAGAAGCATATAAACCAGTAGAGCAAACTCAGCGCCTCTTTGACAAAGAATTTAGAATTAATTTGGCTCCTACACCAGACGAACAATTTATGCAATTCATCGTAAATTTATGAAAACTGAATCTGTAGTTAAAACACAAAGATCAGGAAAACAGCTGAGCGGGCACTCAGAGGAAATCATTCAGAGCCAAATTAATTCCAAATACTCTGTAAACGAGACCCTGAGTTTGTCTTACTGTTTTATTGCTTCTTGCCAAACAGCAATTTTGCACCTCATTTCTTGGGTTAATCTCCGTGTCATTCTGTGGGTTGATGAAAAATGCAAACAATACCTGAATTTTACTACTTATCCATATTATGTTTGCTGAAGAAATGAACGCTCTATGAGTGAGTACCTGAAAAGCAAATTAAAATGAAAAAGTTATATTTGAGACGCCCTGTAGAGCCTTATTCTAAGCCAAAATTAAATGATTTTCCCCCTATAAGGCGCTTGAGTTAGAGATAGGGATTGATATTGATATATTGTTTCATATTCCCTTTAAACATGCATCAAACACCAATTCTCCAATAAACTAATTATCAGTTCAAATTTATGTAGTTTAGTCATTCATGCTCATCACATGAAGTTTTCTCTTACCTTTGCATTGCGAGTGTTTTCTTTAAATGCTTTCATTCCTTCCGCTGTTAGATTGCAATTGAAAGCATTGAATGTCTCCACATGACATTGTGAAACAACTAATCCAAGTTCACCAAAACCATCGGTTCCAAGGTTGCTGCTAGAACTGACATTTAGTTGATTCAGCTGAAATAAATAAGAATTGTGAAATTATTTAACATGATGAAAATACAAACAAAACTATAGAATTCACTGCACTGATGGTTCACATTGCAACAGAATGAAATGAATTAAAGTTGTTATATAGCAGGCTATGGAACCACCTAATCTAGGTTGCTGTAGAACAAGGGTGTGCAACATTTTCTGACAAAGAGCCATATAACTTCAGACATCTAACTGGGCCAGCTTGAGATGAGAAATTATTACATCACAATATGTTATTAATAAGCCTGCAGCAACCAAAATATATTAGCGACTACCAGAGCGCCATGTGGAGGGCAATATAAGAGAATGAAGCTATCGCTTAGCCTTAGCCTCACAGTAATGAATGCACGGGGCAAAAGATTTACTAAAAAGAAAGAGCAAGATTTTAAGAAAGATTCAATGCAGAACCAAGGTCAAAAAGCATTATGTATTTTTACTGATGTGAGAGCCTTTTTAAATATAAACTGTCGGACTAGAATTTTATGCTTGATGGGGAAAATCTGAGTGTTGACTAGGACCACACTAAATGTCTTGGAGGGTTGGATTGTTGCCCGCGGGTTGCCTGTTGCACATCCCTGCTGTAGAATGTATTTCTGCCGCTAGTGGGCGCCATTAGTAATCCATTGAAAGGGAAATAGATTATGTCAACTTCCAATATTAAGTTTTGCTTCAGATTATCAAAGACCTGTCATTAAAAGTAGCTAATTATTTATGGATAAAAAGTTAATATTCACTATACAATTGAAAGTTCTAAATCAAGGATGGCGAACCTTTATACCTATTGGAAAACATAAATTTTTTTGGCATTTGAATAATTTAATGGCATTGCAGCTAATGTTAGATGCTAAATTAACATATTACACATGAAACAGATATGACATAACAATATAGTAAGTCACTCTCTCTCACTGAACTAGTATGGTAAGCCTACTCATAAAGCATAAGATATACTTTGTGACCCACAAGTCAGTGGCGGTTCACCACCCTTGTTCTAAATCAACATGTTGCAAGCACAATCAATTTTTAGTGAGGGCAATCAATAAACTTGTGACTGTGTGTTGCTAGAGTATATGTCACTGAAATTGAAGCAAATACGATGGATTTCAATTTCCAACTTCAAAGGTAGTGGTATCCAAACATTTTCTATAGATTTCAAATGAAAATGCACTAATATCCAACCATTGAGAGGGATTGGGTCGATTGCACTGCAATGATACTACATTTGAGCTGATGGCCTTAGGACCCTTTCCGCCATACATTCTAATTTCTGTACAGATTTTGCTTTCTAAGCCTGTGCTCGGTAAACTGTGGGACGCGGTTCAATCGTGGGCTGCTGGGCATTTTCTAGTGGATAGCATAGGTTTTACATAATAATCCCGGGGGAGACGAAAGCTGATAAAATGGCCTAATCATATGGCGAACCAAGGCCTCTCGCCCGATTACCATTCCATATCAAGTATGGGTATTAATTAGTTAGCCAGTTTTCAGATGCATAGATTTGGCGATGTAGGAACCCGTAACCGACCAGTGGCAATCTTCTCGCATATAATCAACCTCGCATGGGATTCAAGCATGCGAACCAACACAGGATAATCAGAGATGCAGGCGGATACCTAACACTTATCAGGATGTGCCACACTGCCGAGCCAATAGTGGGCCTTCAATAAATCTCAATTATGACAGTGATACACAAAAGAGTTCTTTTAATCCGACATTACCTATAATTATTTTGCCAAATGATTTTTGTTAATATATCAAACGATTATACATACCTTACATATACGTGCATTTCAACTAAACAAATTGCTTTATTAAGATAATATTATTGAAGCTTACCTAATTGCCTTGATTTTAAAGGAGGTAATACCTTTTATGCTTTGTGGGATTTTAGTATGTATTCAAAATTCCAGATTCGAAAATATTTTTTAAAATGTATTCAGAGTAGTCCAATATTCGGTTTTGGCCATCCCTACGAATAACTCAAATAAATTCAATAATGAGTTGTATTTAAAAAAAATCAAAAATCTCATTGCTAGTGTTGTTTTCTTAAGTTATTCTGTACTAAAGCCAAATATAGGATTGCCTCATCTAATAATGAAATTATATAAGAAGGAAAATTAAAACTAAGACAGAATTTTATTTTAACAAATATGGTTTAGGCCTAAACTAAAGTGGAATCTAATATCGCTTTACAAAAAAAAAACAATGGCTCCTACACTATTTGACCAAATTCTGACAATTTTTGCATGTGGCTTTCCCGACCTCCATTTTCTACCAGAGTATGCAGATATATATCTTTCTGAACACAACAACATATACAAATTCATTCTCCTATCAAGCATGAATAAAGAAATACTCATTTCCTCACCAGGGCTGGGCGTTCGGAAACAGTGTTTTTACTGCCGTCAGCATATATATTTCGCAGGCATCTTCTTGAACATGTTAACTTATATTTGGGTTGCTATATTATATAATGTAATGTCATTTATAGTATTAATTAATAATATAATTAATTTACTTTATACTGCCACCTAATATTTGTCCTAACCTTTTTGAAAACTACCTTGTAATGATAACATGGCTCGTGGGATGATGTACTCTCTATTTACACACGTTATCAGTAAGTCAAAAAAAAGAGAATGGCTATCTTTATGACCCTACGGTTTTGCCAATTCGGGGAACAAAATAACGACACCAGACTGGAAACACACCTGTAACCAACCCTTGGATGAGCAGTGTAGTACTTTTCACACTGTTCAGGCTTCATAACATTCAAATGTTATTTCATTGTTCCAGTTAATAGGTTGTTCAAAATGATTGGTACTATCTTTTTACCCAGATAATAACGCGATATTGTTTAGAATAGTTAATCCTGTGAATATGATTGTATCGAAAAACATAACTGGTTCTAACCCTATAAAACTGACCAACAGGGGAAAAAAATTTTTGCTCGTCTTTTGGAGGGCTATATGGAAAAACCCTCTTTTGAGTGCTAAAAATAGACATTGTCTTATTTGCTGGGTAGACTTATAAGCCGTGAAATACAGTATTTCTTATATAATGAATGTTTCCCCATTTATTGACCGACTTGCTCATCTCTGTAAAAATGACCAATTAGCAATAAATTGGAGGAAATGTAGCAATTGGAATCTCTATGACTCTCTTTACACACAAAAAAAGTTTCAAACAGTTCTGCAATCCTCCCTCGTATGATTCGAAGCTGATTTGGAATTGTTACCAATGAATTGGGAAAAAGTTTTGGGTGAAATATTCTACACAGGAAAAAATTATAATTCTTGAAAAAATTGTGCCGGTAAGTAGAAGCCTTATAGCAGACAACAGCTTCAACTATTTATTCAAAAATTGAAACTGGAAAAATAGCACTCCGGAAGTATTCGTACCAATGTGGGAACTAAGAAAGGTAAAGTATCCTAAGGAATAATGCCCTGTTACGAATACTATGAGAGCACCAAAACAACAAAAAGGAAAAATTTCCAAAAATTATTCAACATTTGATTGTAAACACTCTTTATATAGAATACAAGGAAAACATCTCTGTAATAGCACAAGCACTATAAGATAGCGCCAGATTGTGCTCAAATGAAAGTTTTATGTTGTACCATGTTGCAATGCCCAAAAAAGGGGCAAAATTTCAAGAAAAAATATGATTTGTTTCAACGTGCATGTTAAAAGCTAATAGGGAATCTAGATAAATCTAGCTGGAAACGAAAGTATTTTTCGCCAACCTGCATGGGGAAAAATGTGTCTTGAGTCTCAAAAATATTATTTGTCACACATCCCTGTCAAAAGCTTGCTGATTAACCAATGTTAAGAAATTATTGTTGAAAATTCAGTATCTCAATAATAAATTAAAATTTGGTGTAGTCATTAGACCATTCTGTCCCTATTTTTAAAGCATTGGACTTATGATTTTTATTCAGATTCACGGACCAATACTCGTTGAATATGATATTATCCAATAAATATTAGCAATAATTTTATATTAAATTATTTTATGGTATGGCGGGTGGTGCATCGAGCTAAGCATCAGAAATGCACTTGCCATCGCACCTCAGATTACTCTGCGTGTGTTCACAGGTTCGATTTCTGTGGAGATAATTAAGTGCTATTGGATTGCTGGACTCCTCAACACCGTAGGGGTGGCTGAGGTAACCGCTGGTTGGTTACGGCTTCCTCCACCATCAAGTCCATGCATCTGGATATAAATAACTGGCTAACTAATCTCATACCCAACATTGAGTGGTAATCTAGCAAGAGGCTTTGGTATGACATATCATTGGGACATACTAAACTAAACTCCTACATTGTTCTGGGGAGCTTTTGTTGAACCCCAACATTTTAAACCAAAATCCTATTCATAACATCATAAAGGAGAATCTGATTTTGTGCAAGTTTATAGAAAATCTAACAGTCTTCAATTGACAGAGTTTGAACTTGTGGCAATAGTGTTGAGCTAGGTTTTGTTTTTATGGTTATATATAACGACATGCAATATTAAAATGGTGTCAACCAGCAACTCTCTGGGTTCGCCATTCGTTAGTTATAGAAAATAAGGATTAGATTATGATGGATAGAGTATGAATATTAACATTGGCACAAATATACAGCTTAAAGTTTTGAGGTTTGTCACAACAACATAAGATATTTTCACAAGCGGAAAGCACCTTGAACGCTATCACACAGCAGTACATACAATGCAAAGCAAGCAATACTTTTAGGTAAACATTAAGTTTTCTAATAAATGGGATATACCGTATTTTCTCGACTATACGCCTATCACGCGGATAAGCCGACTCCCTAATAACAGCTTCGAAATAGTGAATTTATAAAAATTCGCATATACGCCGTTTCCACAAATCGTAACACGGCGCACGCATCTATTACAGTCAATGATGTTCAATTCAAATTTCATATTCAAATATCGGATTCGCTACTTTCTTGTATATGGCACACACATTCTAGCGCCGCTGTCCACATTTTGATTAAAACAATTTTTGATTATTATATTTTCTGTTTTATCGTAATGGAAGACAGCACTTTGCGGCACAACTAAATTACTGCCAACATGAAAGGAATTAAATCAGCGTCGACTTGAAGTACCAAACATATAACATGAGGACATTTTTGATTGAAAATATTTTACAATCATTATTTTATATTAAGGTAGTCGAGATATCCTCAGCGGACACGGCCATAAATTTGGTTATTTTTCGCAAGTCTTCTCAAACATGATTTGTGTAATATGGGCTGATATATTTTATAATGTATGCCAAAGTGTCTGCCGATTATTTAATTGACTTTGTATAACAGCTGTTATTTGTCTTAATCCTAAAAACAAAAACGTGGCGGGTGCAATGAAGCACTCCCTGCCCGATAACGGCACTTCAGAAAGAAAACGGCTACCACGAAATAAAGTGATTGATTTATGACCCTTCCGTTTTGCTGATTCAGGAAAAAACGGAAAACACAGCTGTTGCCTAACCCATGGACGTACAGCACAGTATTTATCACATCATATTCAAATGTTATTTCAACCTTTCAGTTAGAGTAAATGGTTGTTCAAAATGATTGAAATTACAGTTTTATTGTTAAGAATTAATGCTGTGAGTATTATTCTACCTGAAACTTCTATCTGATTCTTACTTGTGCACAAATGATAACGTTTTGACCACGAGACGGTTGGTAGATCAATGCCGTTGCTCTTATGCAAAAAATGCAATTAAATTTAATCAAATACAAGCGGTCACGTTTATGATCGGACAATCACACCTAGACAAGCGATCGTGTGTGTGGTGTGTGCGTGCACGTTCTTTATCGTGAGAATTAAACATGGTCTGTAGCTGTTGCAATTACCGGCAAGTCAGCATTATATCATTTCGTTGCGTGATCAAAGTCTCGATGCGCGAAGGAGCCTATTTTTTGGTGCTATCTGAGTTATGCGCGCATAAGACGGTCCCTTAGTTGGGCAACTTTTTTTTTGAGTTTTAAAGTCGGCGTATTTGCGAATAAATACGGTAAGGTATAACCATCATTGACTATACATAGTTACTACACATAGCTTAACTTGGAATTTTAATACCTGAGTGAACTATAATAATTTGTACAAGTAATGGAAAGACTCCATGACATACGAATGGTTCAAGGACTTTCGAACCCCTGTAACTGCTCCTATGCCTATGACTTATCTTTGAGACTCACTTTTATCACTTAAGTATGCTCAATTCTTAGGCATAGCCCATGGTGGTCCCAGGTTGTCAGCTTCGGATACCAAAAAATTATTTTTGCATTGTTCACAGGCCACAAGAATGAGTACGGTAAGCAGTGCAATATAAAACAAATACTTTTATCGCGTAAACACATTGACCATTATTTGTGATTTATCAAGCTAAAACATGGGAAAATCACCATAAAACTTCATTAAACATGCAAAACACTTCCTAAATCAACATTTAGTATAAGATTCCAGGTTCTTTAATAATAAAAGTGCTTTTGCTAATGTAACATTGATAAGATTCCCAAGACAAAATCCCGTCGAAAAATGCTCATTGCTCGCAAGATTCCGAAATAGATTGTAAATTTTAGATTGTATTTTTTGGCACAACTGGCGGACATATCAAGCATTGTGGTATTTTTCTTCTCATATACAGTTGAAAATCTGTCTAAACTTTCTTTTCAAACTCACAATTATAAAATAACTTACAAATAACTACAGTTTGATTGATTACCAACATTTGCCAAATGTGAGGGTACAGGAGGGTAATTACTAAATTTTTCAATACAGAGGTGGCAGTTTTTGTAACACTATTTAGGCTGGACTATGTTGTTAGGTTCGGCCATAACAATAATATTAAGCTTTCAGTAAGAATACCCAACCTAGCCTAACAGATTCGCCATTCGATTTCTAGTCTTCTATGCTGCCTATATTGTTAGCATACATTCCCGTTTGAAAAGATATAAAGCTATACAACAATTTAGACTAGCTGACCACATTATTCAACTTTGCTGGCTATTGTACCAGTCAATTTAATGACATTAGTGATGTGACAATATGTTCAACGATTATTCTGGTTATTGTTTTTGACTAAAAAACATCAAATGATTTTTAATTACATTCCAGCCAATGCTGCAGGCATGATAATCATGCTGCAGGCCGTGGTTTGGACCCCCATGGCATAGCAAGTCCCTCCATCACTTCCCCTTCCAAACTTTCTCAAGAAGATTTTGCGGCATTTGCAGTGAAACACAAACTCGCGAGTTTTTCCAACACTATTCCGACTCTACGGAAAATCTCATCTTGTATTTTGTCATCATATTGGTGCTCTATCACATAGAGCGGAAAATACCGCCTCACGCATGTAGGCCAATGAATAAGACAATAAAATTTTAATTCTGCATGAAACTGGTACAAGGCAATTTTGGGGGATATGATAATAAATTCATTCAACATCAGACGCGATTGACTACTTAAAACATGTCGGCCACCCATGACTCAGTCCAATGGTTTTTTGCTTTTTTCAATTTCCCCAAAGTGTCTGAAACACAAAAAAATTTCTCCTGCTTTCCCAAATTAATTTTTGTTATATGCTGAGAAAGTCTGGACGGTTTTATTGCTACATAAAGTTTTATTATACAACAAACGCATCGTTGCAAACCAGAATAAGCCATATTGGAGGTAAAGCTTACTACATTGCCTACATTTTCGCTTTGCAAACTCATTTTGAAACTAAGGCTATTATACTGTTTTAATCTAAATCCATTAAATAAGCTGCATAGATCACTGTCTTCAATATTATCAACTTACACAACACAATGTCAGACACTTCATGACATCGCATCAGGCTAGATTTTAGCAATTCGAGAATTTAGGTATCAGATATGTAAACTAGTTATTCAATGACCCAAGTAAGAAAATGAGCCAATTTTGTCGCAACGTGGAGATGGTACCAATTTGATATCAGTGCTCCCAATCGCCCAGATACACAATCAGGGGTCTCCAATTGGCTAATTTGCAGTCAGACCCCCCAGTTGTCGCAAACAACAACCGCCCTTATGAGGGCAATTTTGCCCTCTCTGCTTCAAACGAACCAATCAAGATAGATTGGATAACTTCGACAGCGAAGTAAGTTTGTGGAGACCTTCTTTAAATTATCAGTGGCAGCTTGTACCTGGTCTTGTTTGGAGTGAAAAGCACGAGTGAGTCAGTGAGTGTGAAAAAAAATTAACCATTCCAAAATTATGGGCGAGCTCGTCCTTGGACTCATCGCATATTGCAACCAAAGTGATTTCCCTGATACTATAGCGAAGGGAAAGTTAGTCTGAGCCAGTAAACTTTGATTTTAAATCAGAGCTTTCATCTTTGCGTAGAGTAATAATTTATAAAAAATTATTTTTATTGTTATGGGGATAAGTACAAAATAAGAATTGATTTTTTCATTAAAAAAATTTATTTTGAAAATCATGCACATCACAACCAATGCTTGAAATTATGATAAAATATTCCAATCACAATCCACTAAGTTTAGAACTATATGTTTACCTTTAAAGAAGAACCCTTTAGATTTGACTTCAGGATATGAACCAACTCGGCATTGAGATTACAGTTTTGAAGACGAACAGATTCTAGTTGGCTGCAACGTCGCATGACCGATGACATGGCATGCATTCCGACTGTAGTGAAGGATTCGTGTGAAAAATTGATGTCCTTGATGCAGGAACGAATAAGGTCGGTGTCATTAGCTTCGTATAATGTCCCAAACAGCTCCAACGTTTCATACCATTTCATTTTTTGACTGGATTGAAATGCGAGAAATTTTCTTAGAACCTCTCTTTTATCATCTTGTCTGGCACCTGGTAATTATAAAAGTATTATGATTACCATATATGGTAGACGCAGGTTTGGATTGTGTGGGGATAATTATGGACATAAGGCACAATTGGACTTCGCAGAGTTATAGAGTGAAATAAAAAGTATCTGCTGATTAGTCATGGTTTGGTCATTCACTAGACTAGAAGGCCACAATTCAGTACATGATAAATCCTCCTTGTTGACTTTTCCTTCCAAGTAGTTAAATCCTAGTTGTCAAACTAATTCAAAATTGGTGTAAAAGACATGATCACATAAAATATTACTTAGAAGAAATATTACCAGAAGAAAGATTTGTTATGAGACTGCTTTCAATATCAGGATTCAGAATGATTCCACTTAGAAAACGACGAACAACTGCCCAATGATCGTCTCGAATCTCAGTTTCGATAAAGGTGCGAAACGTAGTAGAATCCATGCTTGAAATATAGAGAGCGGATAAAACTTCTTGAAAGATTTGATGGCTGAAGAACATTAGATGGTCTCCTTCCATGAGATGCTGGTTGAACATATTTTTCCCAGGTACCTTGATGACAAAGTCCTGAACCTCAAGAGGACTAAGCTTTACTTTTTCGAGATCCTTGATTGTGAAAATGACTCGATTTTCTTTTGTGCCTTCAAATGACATTTGCATTAGTTTCTGGAGTGTTTCTTCAATTTTTTCCTTTTTACGGGCATGAGCGGATCGTATGAAGATGTGGAGGATTTGTAGCATTACCTCAGTCATAGTATCTGGTGGATTATCTGGGCTGTCCTTGCAAACGATTGCATTGAATATTAGAAATAGAGGAACAGATGATAACGGGATAAGTGCGGGCGACTGCATTGTTAATTTCTCCCAAGCTTTTTCACCACTGTCTCCTATAATTGCAATGAACAAACGCTTGATATCATTTTGAGCCAGACCAGCAAGGGCAGTTATGAATTGCGGCCTCAATTCTGATGGGAGTGATGCCACTCTGAACTCGCGCGAAGAAATCACGATCGTCATGTCAGGAAAGAGATTGCCTGTTATGATATTGTACATGACAGTTGCTGTGCTAGATTTATCAGTATATTTCATCTTGTTGTGTTTTCCCAAAAGACTCCAAGTTGCTTGATCAAGTCCGTCAAGGAAAAGAATTGACTTTGATTGATTTTGTTGCAGCCGTTCATAGCCGTCTTTCAATTCTTGTGGTGAGAGTCCTGAAGCTTCTTTCCCAAAAAGAAGTTCACATGGACTGATGGCTTCATCTCGTGTAGTTCCTTCTAAAACCGGGATATCTTTGATGTTCAAGTGATGAATAAATTCAAAGCGATGTTCCAGCTGCAATGCTTCAGCAGCTTGGGCTTCTTCTCCTAATTTGTTTGTGATATGAAGTGTTCGAGCAAGGCGTTTCATACTTGTCGTTTTCCCGCCACCTGCCTGTCCCAATATGGCAATATACCTGTATTTTTTGTTGCCTAATTGTTCTATGAGTTCATTCTGAGAAATAGGTTTTCCAAATTTTTCTTCATTTGCTTTAACAGTGAATCCAGTCTCGATATTGTATTGCCTATTCTTGGGGGCCATTTCTCCTCTGTAGAAACGTGGCACTTCTCTAAGTTGGGGATTTACCTCAAAGTCTGGTTCGTTTAAGTTTAGCTGTTTGTAATCTTCTGCGATTTTCACTTTTGTTTGCTCCAGGGTTCTCTTGTTGAAATAATTGATAAATTTTTTTGCATGCTTTCTTCTTTCCCTTTTTGCCTTTTTACCATTTCCTTTTTTTGTACGGATTCCTGAATAAGATATGAATGCATATAATATTCAAGTTAAATAATGTTGTTATTGATATTGACATTATATACAGGTCTATACAAATATGTGACTTAAGAAAGTCAATTAAATCAGGTATTTTGTAAATGTTTTGAATTTGTACTTTGGTAATTCGAATGGGAATGAATATGAACGAGGTCTTATTTGACTAAAAGTCTATTGTGCTTGTGTTTTTGACTGTGCGAAACATTTCTAAATTATAAAATAGGACAATAGAAGGGCAAATTGTAAACACAGTTTGAAGCAGACATGTGAAAATGTGCGACTGAATATTTTCTTTGTGAATAAAAAACATCCTCAATATGTACTTGATGATAAGTCCATTTCTGATAGTAATTTAAGCGGATGCGTTGGCAAGAAAGCAAATTTCTCATGGACCGCAAAAAAAACAGCAGACGGGAACCACTGAGCTAGAGCAGTATCGCGTTGATCGCTCTTCATTGTCACATAATTAAGATAGCTCTTGAATATTTGAGCGAAGTAAACTAAAGCAATATCACTCTGGCACATCTTTCAAATCTAAGTGCCAATTATTAACAACAAGCCGGTAGGCAGGGATGGCCAATACAAAATAATTCACTATTTCGAATACATTCAAAATTATTATTTACGAATATGAAATTTCGAATACTTTGAAAATAAATTCAAGCGTATCGTATTGTATGGCGGAATTAGCATACAATGAATAATGCAATAACCGTTACCTACAAGCTGGCTACAAGAAAATTTATATCCGCCGATTGCCGTGATTCAGATTCAGATATTTTATTTCGTCGTGCATGAAACATTGTCAACAAATAATAATAAATTGAAATAAATCAAAAAACACACAATGTTTCGCAATTGACGAGGAGTCGCGAAAGACTATTAAGTCATCGTGTCAGCGACACCTATATGCTGGATTACAGCAACAGATATAGCAAAAGACTTGGGTTTATCACGTACAATACGGTACTAAAAAGCATAGAAACAACAACAACGGATGATAAAATAAAATACGGAAATATGAAGAGCCATGAGGACTTTAATTAAGGAAACCGGTACCGCTTGACGAGCGCAAGGGCGCCATCAAGCGAATGCGATGTACTTCAATGTACACAATTAAACGAGAATAACGCTTATTAACATGACTAGGCACTTTGAAAGCTGGATCGGCGTGCCCAGCAACGTTAATTTCAATTTGACAGAACTTTACTGGGTTAATGAACTGATGCATGCTGAAGCATGCATTTCTTTCATATTTAGGTTATATGATAAAAAGTTGGCGAAAGTGAAAAACAGAACTTGGCACATACAGAGTAAATGACGATGCGAATTTAGAATACAGTGGAAGAAAACGATTGGATCCCGGTATGGTACCGGTAACGGTTCAGGGAATATACGACTAGAAGAAGATCAGACACATGAAAAGGCAATGTTTTCAGACTACTGGCAAATATAAACATCAAGGTAATGATTTTTCAATGCATGTTTGAAGGAGATGTAGTTCATTGATCGAATACTGTCAGTGAGCGTGTTCCATAACTTGACACCAACGAATTTGATGGAGTTTTGAGTAAGCTTGGTGGAAAAGCGATCCACAAAGTAAGAGCCTTTAGCAGATGACCGCGTCCCATAGGAGTAAATACTGCTCTGCTTTGAAAAGTAGTTAGTGAATGCTGCAGGGAGTTTATTGTTATGGTGTTGATGCATTAACTTCAACACTTCAATTCTATGTATATCTACAAGTATAAAGATTAAATGGATGAGATATAAAGATTTATCAGCAGAGCCCCATGCAACTACGCCATATTGAATATGGGACTGGAATAGGGAGTAGTAAACCATGCGTAATGTAGGTAGCGATGTAAATCTTTTAGGTTTATATAATATCCCAACCGACTTGGATAATTTAACGGCCAGGTTTGAAATTTGTGTATCCCATTTCAATTTGTTATCAATATATATGCCAAGGTATTTTAAGTACTAGTTTAAGTATGAGAGCGCGAATCAAAGTTAATTATAATAGGGCAGTTTACCATTAGTTTTATGTCTACAGATTGCCGTGGTATTTTAACGTTACTCCAATAAAAGACGACGCAACCATGAGTTAGGCTACATTGAACAAAAGTAAATCAATACTGAAGGCATTTTAAATGCTGTTTGTAAATTAATACGGAAGGCATTTTAAATGCTGTTATCGGTCATGGATTTACGGTAAATATTTTGCACAACAGATAAGTCCATACTTTTAACAATCATTAGCAAAACTATTTGCCGAAAGTGGGTAAAAGTATAAAATATTTTTTTGTGAGTTCGAAAATATGAATCAAAAATTAATTATAATCCAGCATTTTACCACACACTATATATTTCCACAGATTACCGCGTTATTTTAAAGTTTAATGCTTTTGTTTTTCGTAATTATAATCAGGCAGTTAACACACATTTTATGTCCAGATTGTCGCCGTATCTTAGAGTAGTAATGCATTAATTTATTCGTGAGTCGGCAAATCTATGAGTTACGTTAAACACAATTAAATTAATACAATGAGTCATTTTAAATGCTGTTATCGGTCATGAATTTGAATATTTTTTCGCTGATACTCGAGGCGTCTCTTACTCCAGCAATCCCTTACCATCCATTCAAAATTGCACCTATTACAAAACCGTACTACAGTGACCACGTCCCCAATACTATTCATTTTAAGCGCTGTTCGTCTAGTCCACATTCTTGCATACGTGGTGTGGTATACTGGGACTAACAAATAAAACATATTTACTAAAATTACTAAGACTTCTCCAGTTTTTGGTTTATTGAGATGAAAAATGGCTTGTTCGGAAAAGTATTTCCCTCCGCGGAGGGTAACATTCTCAAAATAAAAATTTTTGAAATAGTTAACCAGAAAACGGTAGAAAAATGTGAGAAAATTTGAAATTTCCCAACGATCGGCGTGTTTTTTGCTGCTGCCATGGAAACGAAACATCCAATCCGAACTTTTGGTAAAACGCACATTGGGAGGACAAATGACCCAATGTGAGAAATTCTATCCAGGTCGGCCCCGCCCCAGGAGACGCTACAGCTAGACAAACAGACAGTACGATTGGGAATCGGGTCGCCTAGATCCAATCATTACAAGTGTATCAATCTGCATAAACGAAGTATGCAAAGCACCCTGTGTCTGATAACTAATAGATATCATTATACAATTACCTGATGGTGTAGGTGCCACTTCATAGACCGGACAAGGAAAATTATCTGAGGCAAGTTTGGCATCAGTGGATCCCTTCATCCTTTGAGCTCTTGTAGTTTCACCTGAGGTAAATTATAAATATAAACTGAAATATTTTTCTGAATCACTGAAAATTTTCTAAACTCATTCGAATCATATTTTAGTAGGATGTCGCAAATGAAGGCAAATTTGAACAAAACATTTCTAAGGTAGCGTTAAGACATAGAGTGTTCAGAATGGCTTGTTGAAAAATGAAATAACTTTACTCAAAGGGCATAGTCTGTTTAAAATCAGCCTAACTCTGATTACCATGTGTGGGTTCGAATTCAGTGGGGGACAATTATGTGCAAGAGTATTGCTGGACTCCTCGCCGGCGTAGGGTGGTTCATGTAACCGGTGGTCGGTTAAGACTTCCTCCACTATCACGTCCAAGTATCAGAAACAAATAACTGCCTAACTTATCCCATACCCGAAATGGACTGGTAACTGGACGAGAGACCATGATTTGCCATACAACGAAGTCGTTTTATCAATTTACCTCTCCCCCAGGATGAATTTAAATAAATTCTATTCTGTCATTTACATAATAATCATAGTTAGCGTATACAGAATAAAGATAAAGAAATACTAGTCTTTTCACTAAGCTCATTTGAACAAGCATGACTGATTAAACTGAGTTTCAAAAGCTGTCTCCTACTCTGCAAGAATTTAATTATTTGAACAATTTAACAAATCAAAGTTCAACAAAGCTTTCATCGTTAATAAACTTCTGAATGAATGCTTGTAACTTTGCTTTAGATATATTGCATTTAAAAATTCTTTATTCATACCTGAAGTGGAGGGCATTTCCTCTTGCATAGTCCTGAGAGACGCTTCATCAGCTTGTACTTGAGGTTGTGGTGCAGCTGGAGGGTGCAGAGCTAAAAAATAATTAGGTTTGTAACAAATTTGCAATTTGTCATTTTAAATCATCAAATATTACCCCAATTAATCTTAAAAACTTGACTTTCGACTTAGCACCCGTAATTTTCCACATGATTCATACTCACGGGACAATGAAATCATCGCTATTTTTAAACTTAAACTAGGTCATTTCATAAACTTTACAAGATATTCGACCTAAATAATAGTGCCCATGGAATAAGAAATTATCCTGCTCATCCAAAATTCCTCCTATCAAAAACGAGACAAACTAGAATTTGATTGGTCGAGGAAAAACCTTCTTCCCGAAAAAGTAATAAATAAAGATAGACAAATTATCCACTAAATTGAGAAACCCCCAATTCCATTTAAATAGACTGATCGGGTCAAAGAGAATGGAGTGTTGGGAGAAAGGTAAATTGTTCTAGTTGATTCTGCTGTTATCTTATGAACAATGCTATTTAAGGTACAATTTATATTTTATGATTTAAGTCGTGTTTTATAATTTCTTGTTATTGACGATCGTAATTGTTTAACCGGAGCAATAAAATTATACTAAAGGATGGATATTGAGTTGATCTGTTATATAAAATTAACAGGAGCTCCCAATTGAGCACGTATAACTTCTGATTAACATAATTGTTTTATATCGGAGTCTAGATAGTAGGAGCACAATATATATATCAAAGTAGTTAACTAGTAAACATCAACTAACGAAGAAGATAGCCAACAGCAATTTTTGGTTACAGGTTTTGTGAGTTTATGATGAAACTAAAGTTGAAAATATTGTGTTTTTGGTCTAGAGTCAAAGTTGCATGCTAAACTTAAATAGTAGATCAGTTTTCATGGCCATGGTTTTCATCTCAACAGTTTAAACAAAAAATAAATGTGTTTTTTTATCAATTGTTAGAAATTTGTGAAATTTGGGGGATGCTAAGTATATGCACACAATTTTGATTTTGTAGTTCAAATACCTTATCCAATCTAAGAATACTACAGACATTAATTATCAACACACAGGTAAAGATGAGGTAGTCGATATAAATTATGAACAAACAAACCCTCACAGTACGACAGTATATTCAAATTTGTCCAACTATTTGTCAATGTGTAAAGTAACCACTTGGTGTCAAATTACTGGGACTCTTCTATGCTGCATAAGAGAGAGTATTATTTTAAAAATGACAATTCAAATTACCAAAAACCTAATATTTAAAAAAATCGTCGAAAGCTTCAACAAAACATAAAAAAAGAATTAGAGAGTCGCTCCGTATTCTTCAATAAAATCTGAATTTAATGAACGGATGAATATTATACTTTCGTTTGCAGTCTGACAGTTATCTGCCATAAAACTTAACAAAAGGAATATTGTTGGGAATTCCTCTAATACTAATTGACAACATTATCATATTGATTGTTATATGTTTCATTCAGTTCAATATTTTTTTGCTGTTACGACAGAATATATTTTGAATGTTACTGGTTAGTTTGGGAAACTCTGATCTGTATAATGCAACAAAATATAGCCTTTTAGGGTCTTTTGTAGTTTCGTCCCTGTCAATCCTAACCCCCACTTGACTATGCCATCCAAAAATTATGTCACTACGACGTCACAATCTGGCTTGCCAAAGTATACCTACAATCGCCCGAAATGGCATCTGCGCCGAGGACAAAGAGATCACTAGCGGCAGCAATCTCTCTCGTGATCGTTGCAACAAGCAAACGAGAGAAATAGCTTGCTTGATTTCGGGTGAACGTCTACGCGTCTTGGATGGCAGATCGAATAGTTTGAAAAGCCTTATTATGTTACTATGACGCCATGGTGACGTAATTTTTGGATGACCCAGTCAGGTGGGGGTTTGGAATAACATGTAAAAAAAAATGTTTTGCTATGCCCACTAGTACGAAACTACACTAGACCCTATTTTTGTCGCATAATCATGTTATTTATTCGAAGCCAAACTAAGGTAGTTTTGTTTGGTTAGTATGTGCAAACCTCCCGTGTTCCCAGGACCAAGGCTGTGGAGTCTGAAAAGGCCTATTATCTTTATCAGACTCCAAAATTGCTTGTAGGGTGAATATTTTTCATCTATATACCAACAGTAGTTTACAGATTGAAAAAGAAAAAACATACCATTATTGTCAAAGTGTATGTGGAGGTGCTCAATATTTTCAGCGTGAATCTGACCAGCACATCCTGCTTGAATTACGTCTGCCTGAGCATGAAGCTGATTCACATTTTCTGCATGTAATTCATTGATCTGTGCGTCTGAAAAAGGTTCAACATCGTTCATGAATGAATAACATATCATAAGTTGCTTTCAATGGAACAAGAGTTTTCGATTTATTTTAGAAATGGAAATATGGAATTTATAATTCAAAATAAAGTTTGCAAATAATACATTTTCAATGAAGCAGAATGTCATTTGCATTGTAATATTTGAAAAGGTTCAAAAGAGATTGAGTCATCGTAATGAACAAAGTTATTATGAAATACTGATACTAGTCGACTAGGAATTTATTGAACGCCCGATTTGATATGAATTGTAAATCACTTCATGTTCTCAATGACAGATTTCTTTTCTTTTCTTAATTAACACAAGTTCCTAAATAAAATTCAACTGAGCCTCACCTATAAAGTTCACTACATTAGCTCCCTCTTGTGGTTGACCTTGATCTGCCATTTTTCAAGACAAGCAGTCCAAATGTGGTCATAACTCGGAGGATATGCTACAAATAACTATTCAAAATATTTTAATGTTATAATATCTGTTAAACATAGAAACACAAATTTTGAAAAATCTGAGTAAATTAAATTCACAAAAACAAAACGGTTTACGTATAAATTAAAAATATATATTCAATTCAACCATAGCATGCATTACACTCACATGCTAATAAATGAACAACAGTACAAAGCTATATAACAGTTCAAAGCTGACGAGTTCACTCTAGATTCGGTTACTTTAAAGACTGACAACATTTCTTGCCTTTACTGCCATATCCTTAAGAAGATTTGATATTACCATACCATCACAAGGTGTTGACAGTTCAGACTCCTTGCACAAACCACATTCATAAATCCTACAGGATAAGTTGAGATTTACATAGTTATCCTGAGGAGAGGAAAAGTCGATAATACGACTTATTCATATGGCAAACCTCGGCCTCTTGTTCAGTTACCAGTAATTGTCGGATATGGGATTAGTTAGTCAGTTGGTAGAGGAAGCCATAACCGATCAGCAGTTACGTGAACTCCCCTACGGCAGACAGAAGGCCAGCAATCCTCTTGCATATAATAATCCCTGCATGACACAAAATCATATTTGAGTCTCAAATCAAATGCATTTGGTGGTTTGCCAATTCCAGGTCCAATCAATAGGACAAATTTTTTGAGCTAGAGACTTTCTTCTCTAAATGGCATTTATTATGTACGCATAATCATCGTTTTATTCAAACGTTACATATACAATTAATATATGTTTTGGTTATAAATCACTAAACATTATTCTGCAACTTGGAAATACAGACTATATATCTAAACATGAGACCGAAGCAATATTCTGCACGATAATGATTTGTAGCCACAATGGCTCACAAACAAGCTTTTGAAAAGTTACTCAAAACAAGGCCTCAAGCTTTGACTATGAGTGGAAATAGAACTGATAAAGAAGTTTCAAGTGACCTTTGATTATATTTTCATACAAGTTTGCACAAAGCAACATCCCAATTTCTCAACTAAAGGTAGAAAAGGAATGCTAGAGCTACTGAAACGCTAAAAGCTATACATAGGTCTAATTCTTTCCACAGAGTTTTCAGCGTGTGACATGAGACTGTGTAGCAAACATCTACCGTAGATAGAAGAAAATTCAAACAATTGGAGAAAGAGAGAGAGACCAAAAAATATAGTCAATAATACAATAAGAATCAAAAGCAATGAAATTGTTTTGATGTGGACAGGATGGAGCGATACGATCAATCAATCAATCATCATTTATTCGTCAACATAATTTAAACATGGTATGATATATAAAAAAATAATTACAAATACAAGTGGAAACTAACTTAAATTGTGTGACAGGAGTCGCGAGGGACCTCAAGAGGTCTTCAGGCAGCGACCATACAGTCATTGAGGTCAAGTTCAAATAGAATCCCCTTCTCCCTAATTGTTTCCTATAGTTTCGCATTGATTTATTGCATTAATATATTTGCGAAACAAATAACATAGGTTTATCAAGGCTATTTTCAAACTTGAGAGAACCTAGCTGCCCTAGAACAGAATATATTCTTGAGAGGAAATTTTTGAATATTTTCACCTAAAAAGCTGACCCGTCCAGGTCTATATGTGAATGATGGTCAGAAATTATAACCTTATTTCTTTTTCGTAAGAGATTTACTTCTCCTCAAGCTCTTTGAATGAAGGATAAAATACAGATGGTACGATCAAGGGTGAGTATTATGGGCATGTAAGCAATGTGATGGGCAAAGTAACATTGATATGAATGAAATATGGGGAGGTAAAAGAATAGCTATAAAGTTTAAGATATGTTTGGCATATTTTTCTATGCTGAATATGAATCCTTAAGATATCTTGACTGAGTCTGTATAAATACAAAAATGTGAACTATACAAATATTCATAAAATATCTGTGAAAATTTTCAGCCTTTCAGGACAACTTTTCTTGCTGTTTTAAGGAGCAACCAAGGCTGATGAAGACAAAAATGATTAATGGAAAATCATTTAAACAAAAATCCCTATAATTGCATTCTTGATGTAGGATAAAATATTGAGAAAAATGATCAAAAACTCAGGAACTATATGTCTGTCAAAAATCTAACCTGTCGATACAGTGATGTAAATTCTACAATATATCAATTTTATGACATGTCAGTCAAGCCACATGTAATCTGCTGATATTACAATACTGTCTTGGCATAGTCGATGTCCGCAAGGAATATTTTTAAGACTCAGGAATGATTTATCAGCCATAAATTTGTCCTTTACAACTATTGCACATAACAAAAAATTATTGAATTCATGAATGCAATGGCCTGTAATATAAATATTGTGTTTAATATAAAAATTCTATAATTTATCACTTTTATGACAAGTAACGCAATAGAACTCTTTGCATTGTCTTTGTGTGGCAAAGAATACTAGAATACAGAATATCTATCTTTCACGTCATATAACTAGTGCAGACAACTTGGAATTTTATGCTGTCATAATTCATGCTTACATACAGACAACGCCTGTTTGCATAGCAATTGAAACCTTGTTTCAGTTTTCTACATTATACCCCGCAAATATTGTAACTACGAAATGTAAATTCTATAGCACATTCATCGCTTTTAAACCAGGTCAGTCATATTTTCAGGTAAATTGATAAATAAATAGTTGAATCACATATGTAATACCGAGTATTCAGTAAGCCATAAAACCATTGATAAAATGAAAAAAATCAAATATAGAAATACATTACGCTCATTAAATTTTTACATGTGACCATACTACCATGCTAATATGATGCTCGTGTGGGGCCAAATATATAATATGGTTTTTACTATCTTGTCTTTGCAAAAAACTTTTATTTGTTAAATTCTGTTGGTTGTGAGCTATAATCCTTTTATCGTCGGTGTACAAGCCAGACAAAAAAATTGATGACAAAAGTTTTAACAAAAACGTCAGTTAGATGGAATTCATAGCTCTTTGCACTTCAGTGGTTTTTCCGAGATGGGTTTCAATTACTGTTGGAGAGTAAACATCACTATGATTCATGGCACTCTAACGATTTCCAACTTCTCTTGAAGGAGATGTGTCTTCTTTACTTATGAGTAAGTGAGAAAAATAAAGAAATAAATATGTAAATCTTATCCTCGAGTGCACATGACCTTGATAATGCAAAAAGTGGAAAAAGTACAGATAGAACAGTTACAAGAACAACGATGCACAAAGAGTTATAAATATGCTCATCTCAGTGACAGAAGTGCTATTAGATTGTGGGTAACAGGAGAATTCGAATAATTCAAATAAAAACTTCCAGGAAAACAATTGAGCAATCAGCTACCTTAAAAACCATATTTCCCAGATAATGAGTCTACCTGGCAAAAAAGACGATGTCTATTTTTAGCTTCAAAAAGAGGGTTTGATATGAACTGCACTGTATGTCCATGCGTTAGTTAACAGGTGTGTTCTCAAGGATGGGGGCGTTTTTCTCTGAATCGACAAAACCAACCTAGCCTGTTTTGTTTTTTAAGTACCAATATCGGGCATAGAAAAAGAGTTCTTCATAAATGGTCAGTGCTTCATCTCGTGAGCCATCATTACCACAAAATTTTTCAAAATGAATAATACAAATAACATCTGGCAGTACAAAGTCAATTGAATAACAGTGGACACTGTGACTGGCATATCCACCCATATATGAAGTTAACACAAATCATGCCTGAAAAGACTTGGAAAAATTACTCCACTTCAGAAAAATAAAATTAGCATAGCCGTTCAATAAGATGGCCCCCTAAAACAGGCCAGAAAAATTTACCATGAAATACATTATGCATTAGAATTTGTAAACTTGAAGATTTCCAAACTAGTTATTTCTCTTGTTTAAGATGTTATTATTGAGAATATGCTAACTTTTGATTGATCAATAAATTCAATAAAATTTTTGCGAGACATGCTTATTACAGAAAGTAAAGGCTTTGTCAAATTACAGAAGGCCTATATCAGGGCGGTCCAAACCCAGGCCCGAGGGCCACATCGCCACTCCATTATCTGTGGCCTGTGTCACATTCGGAGAGGAATCAAAAATCGCATTTTGTGTTGTTTCGTCTTAAATTTCACAAAAAAATCTTTTGACATATTGTTGCATCACTAATGTCACTAAATTGATTAGTGTTATGGCTTGCTGAGGCAACTAGCGAAGTTAAAACAAGCAAAGTTCTTGGCACTATTGTGGCCCGCGAACAATGCAAAAGTAATTTTGTGGCCCGAGGAGCTGCCAATCTTGGACCACCCTGGCCTATATGTAGGAGGTTGTTGTTTTGCAGAATATTCACAAAGAGAAAAGCAAAACCTTTGAACCTTTATTAAAGAATGATGACATTTCCCAATGGATACAGTAGTGGGCACATACCAAGTATGGGACTTTGATATCAATCCATGTTGATGTGCTTCCCAAGGAAGATTTTATCTGTCCATCACATCCAACTTTTATTATTATGCAATTTATGATAAAACATAAACGGCTGTTTGCTAAGCACTTGAGGTTCTCATACCACTGGTACATCTTGCTGACTAGGAAAAATTTATTGCTGAAGTCAATAGTTGATAAAGATATTAAAAATAAGCAGATTATTAAAGTTTGAATTACCCATCAATGGCTAACACATTATAAGTATACATGTACATTATTTAAACTAGCAAAGAAACCTTGATGAAATAATAAAGATAAAGTTAGGACTCAAATCAAAATTGGACAACAACCCATCAGAATTATTCCTTGCTTGTAATGAAGTTCGTTACACACTATCTATTCTCGTGCGCCCTTTAGTGGTTACCTTTAACCTCACAGTTTAAGCATCTTCTGACAGTTTTGCATATAACTTACAGACTGATATACAAGAACCTATTAATAATGTTATGTCTCCGCTCTTGCTTTTCCAGATATTATAATGAAATGTGTTCTTATTAACCTTCGGATCTTGTTCTTCCAGAAAAACAAAAAACTTATTAGCTGC